ATTCTGAAATGTTGCTGAATGAAAAAGGGATGCCTTGAATATTGTATTGTATGCTAACAGTAGTTAAAAATAAGGATATGTGTATATGTGCACCCATGTACACCCATATATACATTTACTCTTGTATAGAATCATATAGGAGAAACTGGCTTGTATTCCCTTTGGAGAAGGGAAAAGGGATGGGGAGCTGGAGTAAGAGAAAGACTTGACTTTTAACAGTGAGTAACAAAAGATCCAAAGTAATATAAGTGGCTAAAACAAGATTATTTCTTCCCAGTGTAAAATTCTGGATGTATCCTTAGCTGTTCACAGTGGCTTACTCCACAAAGTGTCATGGACCCACAGACTCCTTGCTCACTTCTCCTGCCATCCTGGATTGTGCCCCGTGTGTTCAGAGGCCCAAGTAGCATCTGTTTCAAGCATGGGAAATGGTGTAGGGTGCTTGCCAGTTTCTTGAGGAGTTTCCTTCTACATGGCCTGTAAATAGCTGCAAGGGAGACTGGGAAATATGGTGTCTTTCTCTGGTATGCCGTGTGTCAGCTTAAAAACAATTACTGTAGGGGCTCCTGGGTGGCTCAGTTGGTTGAGTGTCTGACTTCAGCTCAGGTCATGATCTCGTGGTTAGTGGGTTTGAGCCCTGTGTTGGGCTCTGTGCTGACAGCCCAGAGCCTGGAACCTGCTTCAGATTCTGTGTCTCCCTCTCTCTCTGCCCCTCCCATATTCATGCTCTCGCTCGCTCTCTGTCTCTCTCTCTCTCTGTCTCTCAAAAATAAACAAACATTAAAAAAATTTTTTTAAATCTTAGTTTACCCTAAAAATCAAGAAGTGCATTAGTTCTTTTGAATGACTGCTGCTTGAATTCATTTGAGATCAGAGGGATTTCAAGTGACTACAGAGAATAAACTAAACTTCAGATTTCTAAAAAGTTTTAGGGTATAGAAACATTTTCAAGTAGGTTTTATTAAAAGGAAATAGAAATTAGGCAGACTTCCAAATTTATGAATTTTTCCAAACTAAATTATGGGAAATTGTTCTGTAATGTCTCCTCTTAAAGGTGTGCATTTTGTAATCTTAAGCTGACCCACATGTATTTCTCCTACTTGTTTTTGTTGTTAGCACCCCATGCTTTGTGCTCTTTCAAGGGCCCCTTGCAAATGAAGTGCTTGTCTCCAGATCTGCTGTTCTTGCCTCCTTTGTCTCAATCACTGCTTATTGCTGCTCCATTACAGGACCTTTCCTTAGGAAGAGCGCTCCGTTTCCTGTTGTTTGCCAAATGGCAAAAACTGAATACTCAAGGAGAATTCAGTTCCTTGGCTTTGTACTAATCCAGGGATAGCTTTAGTTTCTATTAAAAATAGAAGGAAGGGAATACCATGCCCTATTTTAAAGTCAGTTCTATTGAGGTGTAAGAATACAGTAAAATGAGCAAACAATAAAATTAACCCATTTCATAGTATAGTTCAGTATATTTTGACAAATGTATGTATCCATGTAATTACCCCCTCCCCAACCTGACCCCGGGGCAGGTCTTCTTTCTTCATTTTAGATTAGTTTGGTCAATGAACTAATATAAAAGGAATCGTACAGTATCTACTCTTTGGTGTCTGTCTTCTTTTGCTCAGCATAATGGTTTCAAGATTGATCTGTGTTTGTTGTATGTTTTAGTAGTTCCTTTTTATTGCTGAATACTAATCTATTACATGCCTGTACCTCAGTTTTTAATCTTTTCTCCATTGATAGACATCCATGTTATTTTCTGTTTGGGCCTATTATGAATAAAGTTTCTCTAAATTTGTGTATAAATTATTGAGTGAACATATCTTTTCATTTTACTAGGATTGGATCTAAGAGAAGCATCAAAATGTTTTCTTAAAGAACTCAACAGGAAAACATTCCTTTTCATGGAATCAGTAGATAGAATGAAACCTTGATGTAAAATTGAAGGATGATTATATTTATTAACAGGAGCCAAAGAAATAAGTCTATTCAATTCAGTAAACATTTGAATGCCTATGAAATATGAGGGAGTATGTAAAACAAATATGGATAAGGGGGGCACCTGGGTGGCTTAGTTGAGCATCTAACTTGGGCTCAGATCATGATCTCATGAATTGTGAGTTTGAGTCCTCCATTAGGTTCTCTGCTGTCAGCCCAGAGCCCGCTGTCCTCTCCCCCCCGCCCCCCGCCCCTTCCCTACTCATTCTCTCTCGCACTTGCTCTCTCAAATAAATAACTTAAAAAAAAATTTTTTTTAATGTTTGTTTTTTTTTGAGAGACAGAGCACAAGCAGAGGAGGGGCAGAGAGAGAGGGAAACACAGAATCCAAAGCAGGCTCCAAGCAGGCTTTGTCAGCACAGAGCCCGACATGGGGCTCGAGCTCACAAACTGTAAGATCATGACCTGAGCTGAAGTCAGTCACTTAACTGACTAGCCACCCAGGCATCCCAATAAATAAATGTTAGAAAAATTAATGTTGTTACACAGATATTCTACCTGGTGACTAAATCTGGTTGACCAGATGTCAAAGAAACACTTTTCATTCTTGAACAAATATCTGCTTTACAAAGAAAATTTCTGCTTTGACACAGATTGGTGGTGTGTATAAATGGAATTCATAACCATGCCTGTACTAGATTTCTATAAGCTACAAGAAAATGATTTATTGCCTATAGTTGTACCATGTCAGGAAAGTAGATTTAATGCTTTCCTGTATATCCCTTTTTTTTAGTGTTTGAAGTTATTAACCACAGAAATCTAAATTTCCAACAAATTAGAAATAATAAATAATGCATCTGTGTGGAATATTTAATGTTTTTAAGTGTAATAATAATGACTATAAGCATAAGAAAAGTTTGATTCTATCCTAATCCTTTTCCTCAATGATGAGAAATTTCAAAAACCTAGGAAAGCTGAGACTAGCATAATACATACTTAGTACATTTAGCCATCTAGGTGTGTTAGTTAGATATATGTATATAAATACTTCTTTTGACCGAACTGTTTGAAGTAAGTTGCAGAAACCATGACCCCATATCCCTAAATACTTCAGCTTGCTCCTCCTAAGAATAAGGATGTTCTTTCATATATCTTTCTTAGCTGTGGTAATGGTATTATGGACAATAATTCCTTCATATCATCTCACAGGCAGTTTATATTTATGTTTCCCCAGTTGCCTTATAAATGTCTGCTGTTTAAATCATGATTAAATCAAGTTCTCATATTTTCTGTGTGTATATCTTTCATCTAAAACAGTTCCCCCTACCCCACCACCATAACTCCCCTCCCCCCCCCACTCCCAGCCAAGAGATCAGACCAGTTGTCTTAGAAAATATCCCACACTCTGGATTTGTCTAACTTGTTTAACTTGTTCCTCCTTTCCTTGCATTTCCTTAAAACTGGAAGTTAAGACGAAAAGATTGATTAGGTTTCAGTTAAACATTTTGATGAGAGTATTCAAGAAGGTGTTGTGTATCTCATATTGTATTGCTATGTGTAATGGGAAGTTTGACCATGTGGTTATTGGAATCTAGGTTTTGAATAATTTTTAAGGTAAAACCTTGTTACAGTACATGTCCCCTTTGGATTACATTAGAAAACATTAGTATTTGTGAATATATTGAACTTGATGGCTTTTCTGTCCCCCCAAATGGGAGAACAAGTTTTGATTTTGTTGCATATTTTCTCCTCCTGGACTATTTTCAGTAGTGCATAAAGAACTAGATGGGAAGGAATGGCTGCGATGTAATTTTGTTCTGTATTCCCATGTACTTTGGTAAAATACTTAACATAACTTTTCCTCTGTTATGTACATAGTCATTACATAAAGCGGTGGTGGACTTTAACCTCCTTGTGATTTTGAATTAGGCTGAAACAAGGAGGCTTGGTCTTTTTGGAATAAATTTGAAAAGTAGATGTGTATGCAGTTTTTAAAGTTGACATTTTTGTTATTTAAAAAAATTTTTTTAATGTTTATTTATTTTGAAGGAGAGAGAGAGAGAGAGAGAGAGAGAGAGAGAGACAGTGTGAGTGGGGGAGGGGCAGAGAGAGGGAGATACAGAATCCAAAGCTGGCTCCAGGCCCTGAGTTGTCAGCACAGAGCCTGACCGCCAACACAGGGCTCAAACTCAGGAACTGTGAGATCATGACCTGAGCCGAAGTCAAGACACTTAACCAACTGAGCTACCAGGGTGCCCCGATGTTATTTAAAACATTGCTTTTTTAAAATCTATTCTGTCTTTGGAGAGGAAAGATTGTAACATGCTTTATGAGTTGGAATTTCTAAACTGTATTCCTTTGAAGTGCAGAAACTGCCCTAGATGGGAGCTGTCAGTTGACTTCTCTATAACATTTTAGGCAATATGTAATAATTTGAAGTCAAGAGATATTTTAAGGTTACCGTCAAATAATTGCAGTCATGAATGATTTGAACATGTCCAAATAAAATAAAGGGGAGGAAAATCATGTAACAAGTTCAGACTTCTTTTTTTCTTCCTATTGTTTCTCTATCATTAATGAACAACTGCACTTCCTTGAGAGAAGCAACAGAATTGTGTTTGCTGGCATGCTGGTGTATAAGCATCAGGCACAAATAGATGAGCACAGCGAAGCAGCTTTATAGTTACAAGAAAAATTCTCCTCTCTCAGTATCAGAGTGCTTTTGTATACGTTAATCATGTAAGGAGCTTTACTGAACTCACTTAAATAATTTTTCTTAGTGGCAAGCAACAAAATAAGATCCCTTATTTATTGACAGGGATAGCAATAGAATCAGTAGCTTTTAGGTGATGTTTCTGTTAAAAGAAGATTCTAGAAACAGTGATTCATCTATGACAGAAAGTGCCACTCTAAAAAGAAAAAAAAAAAAAACCTTCCATCTAATAAATATTTTCGAAGTCCAGATAGTGTTTTTATCTCAAATAATATCGTGTCTTAAAATTAATTGTACTTGGGTTAAATGCAGGTACCTTTCTCCCAAAACTTTTACATTGCATTTCTCAGACTAGCTGCCAGTATTTGTTAATATTTAAACTATCACAGAGAAGAGCTCCAGCCAAAGAGACTATCCAGATTTCTCTATTAGAAATAATAGTACCTATTACTAGACACTATCCTAAGCCTTTTGGTGAGTACTGCTAACTCATTCAGTGCTCAGAGCAACCTTATAAACTTGGTGCTTTTATTTTTATGATTTTATAGACAAGGAAACAGACAGGTTAAGTTACTTGCCTAAGATCACACAGGGAATAAATAGCAAAGCCAGGATTTCCAGGATTTGACTGTAGGTGAGTTATGTTGCAGTCCATGCTCTTACCCCGTTATAACATCTTTCATAGGATATGATTATCTGTTTGGCATTGAGATTCTGGAAGAGGGGAGACAACAGGGCACAAATGTTCTGTAGAATCTAAGGTCTTATGGTCAATTCATATAGAGGAAACTCTTTTTTTTTTCCTTACATAATCTGAATTGCCATGAATTCCCTTATACCGTCCCTTAATCTTATTGGGACTATAAAGGTACAGGAATAATGCTAACTTCTTTCTGCAAGTGTTTATGTAGAATGTTTTTGTGATTTTTGTTTTGGGAAACAAACTCTGGAGCTAGAGGTCAGAGGGCTCTAAGAGGGAGGTCTTAGGGAAAACACATAAGAAGTATGCTTCACACTGGAAGAATCTAACAGTATGATAAATAAGCTTTTTAAAAAAAGATAGTAATGTATACTTTAGAAGTTCATTGCACAGAAACATTTAAAAAATAGTAGAGCCTGAAAATGAAATACATTGATTAAGGGGTACAAATAGGTGATCTTTTCAGCAATTACAATTTTTGTGTCAAATGAACAAATTGGCAGTCAAATTTGACACTAATGATTTAAACAGCCAATAAATTCACTTAGCTCTCTCTTGTTGGATGGTTAGGTTTCTGGTTTTTTCCAAGATGAATTATGTCTCTTGGTATTGAAAAAAAAAAAAAGAATGGAAGCCTTTTTCTTTTTTAATGTTTACTTATTTGGAGAGAGAGAGAGAGAGAGAGAGAGAGAGAGAGAGAGAGAGAGAGAG